TTCAAATTTTCTGCTCCCTCTTGACTATTCATACGAAGTTCTGAAATGCGTGCGTCTCTTTCAACACCCCCTCTCTCTAACTCTCATTAAATGTAGTAAAAATTCTTAGTTTGATAAAACTGAAATTTTCCGTAAAAAAAAAAAACAAAAAAAAAACTTCGTGTTCTCTACGAGAATCCTTCATCCCCACCTCTCCTTCCATCCATCCTGCTTTTTAGCCCCCCCTCCACTCCCTTCACTCTCCCTTCTCACCAGACTGATTTTATTCTCAATTTCATACAACTGTTTGTGAACATAAACAAAATATAACAAATCATTTTGCAAATTACTGTATTTATTTTAATTAATTAGAAATTAGGACATAGAAGCTGTAATGAAATTTATAACATTTACAGAAAAAACGAAATTAAAACTAGCAAAGTATTGGTCAAATTAATAACACTGCTACATTTCAAGTCAGATTGGAATGCCTTGATAAGCACTAGAAAAGACGTACTATCCACAATTATGGTGAAATAACGTCAGGTGGAAAAATTATAGAGAATCATTTTCTGTTTTTCTAGAAGTTACACAAATGGCATCTGTAAAAATTACACATTGCTAATACAAAATTACGAAGCAAATAGCAATTGAAAAAAGTTTTCAAAATTTCTTGAGTTGCACGAGGTATAAGCATTAATCACCCTTTTATACAAAATATTATTAATAACTTGAACTAGAACTGTTGCTAATACTGATTTCATTAATTTTCTGCTTGCATTATTGGCAAGCCTGTGATCGTACCCAGTTCTAACTCTTAATAAACTGGAAGAAAAACTAATAATAAACGTGTATATGCTAAGTAAATTATTATAATCAAAAACACTTGGTTGAGCTTAGATGGGGCAAGTACTTCAACAAAGTCTCTCTGCCAGCAGATAAAGAGCAATGAGCACTTGCAGAATTAGCTTTTTAAAAAGCTGAAGCGCTGTGACAGTATCAAAATACAATGCACAATATTACTGTATGTATACAGACTACTGGAATGAATGTCTTATTTAGAATGCACTATATGCCTATAGCAGCAAACTTCAGTGGCAAGCTTAAGACTGTTTTCAAGAACATTAATTCTGCAAAAGTTTGCAACTATTTATCACTTCAAAATTCTCAGTTTCGGAAAAAACATCACCTCATATTGGGATACAAGCATTTTAAGAGAAGCTTATTTTGAGCTTGCCACCAAGTTTGAGTTGACAACTGCCAAAAACAGACCTAATTCTCAATAAAAATTATCATAATTCAATAATAATAATTTGAAATCAGTACATCAAATGTGAATTGGATTATGAAAATATCAATAGCATATTTTGTATGGATTAGACATAAAATTATGATTTAATTATGATGCTAAAATGGCTTATATATATCAAAAATTTGTGCCTGCCCTTTCCTTGTAGAAAAAGTAAACACATAGCAAGAATATACTTTTACAAAGATCTATTCTCGTAAAGGAAACATTTTCCTTTTGCCTGTGCATTATTTAAATTTTATATATAAGATGAAATCAAAAAATACTTCACATGTGCATGAATACAGCATTATAAAAGTATACTAGTTAATATAAATGAAGCTTTCCCCTTCAAAATATCCATGGCTGGAAGAAGATTCCTGTGCACCTCATTCACTGCGATAGTTTTCATTGGCAAAAGTCACCTTAAGTTTTTTCATCCACACACCATCTGACATAAATTACACAACTAAAGTAGACTGAAAACAAAAAAAAAAAAAAAAAAAGAAACATACTGACATCATTCAGCAAAGAAATATTCAGCTTTTCTCAGATCACAGAAATACTCATTACAATGTTAAATTCCAGTTTAATTTTGAAAAAAAACAAAAAAAAAAAAACAAAAGNCACACACACACACACACACACACACACAAGCTGTTATGAAAAACCTATGTCTTGCCAGGTAAATTTCATTTCAGATCTTCGCTTTTAACCGCCTTGCTTTTTTTTCTTGATACCTCAATTTACATGCACAATCTATCTAGGGAAGATCAAATTTAATGACTGTGTGATAAATTTTTTATGCCTTCTCCTCAAATCCACCATCTTTCCAGGGTCAGAATTGGTAAGAAAAATACTCCACTACTTCATGCGTTGCACACGATCTTTTTAAAAAGACAACGGTAGGGGTAAAAGTTATTTTTAAAATCATGTGCGTAACTAGAATTTCATGCAAAATATGCGATTTTATTATTTTTCAGGTACAGTGTACATTACCTCCTCCATTTTTTATTACAAGTTTTTTTAGATTGAAATGTTTGTTATCAAGGCATAATAAAACCAAGTGTCCCAGGCACACGCCGTCACCTCATATGAAACAAACATCTGTGCATTCCATTAACTAAATGACAATATAACCCACTATCTCTTAGAACTCCTCACACACATTTCCTGACTCAATAAACGCCAGGCTCTCACGCTCAGTTGTCATGGCAACCGTTGATAAAGTAAATGTCAGGTGTATCAGAAGCTCTTATAATAACAGAAATAGTCACGAAAGCTCTCTCAGATGTCTGGCAAACATTGTTGTTATTATCCTGCTCTGATACCACAGATGTGAACGAGAAATAGAATATTTATCTTCTTATTACCTGTAGTTTGTAATCACATACCCATTAATGTGTGTATCGTATTTTAGTTTTAATTTATATTGTTCCTATGTAATTACATCTATATTCTCTATAGTCAATTCTGTTGGAGAGAGAAAGCTCTTAACTAATACGAGACACTGAGGAACAAAACCTTTTTTTTTCTTTATGATTTTTTCTTTCATTCAAATTTTCTGCTCCCTCTTGATTATTCATACGAAGTTCTGAAATGCGTGCGTCTCTTTCAACTCCTCCTAACTCTCATTAAATGTAGTAAAAATTCTTAGTTTGATAAAACAGTGAAATTTTCCGTTAAAAAAAATAAAATAAAAAAAACTTCGTGTTCTCTACGAGAATCCTTCATCCCCACCTCTCCTTCCATCCATCCTGCTTTTTAGCCCACCCCCCTCCACCCCCTTCATTCTCCCTTCTCACTAGACTGATTTTATTCTCAATTTCATACAACTGTTTGTGAACATAAACAAAATATAACAAATCATTTTGCAAATTACTGTATTTATTTTAATTAATTAGAAATTAGGACATAGAAGCTGTAATAAAATTTATAACATTTACTGAAAAAACGAAATTAAAACTAGCAAAGTACTGGTCAAATTAATAACACTGCTACATTTCAAGTAAGATTGGAATGCCTTGATAAGCACAAGAAAAGACGTACTATCCACAATTATGGTGAAAATAACGTCAGGTGGAAAAATTATAGAGAATCATTTACTGTTTTTCTAGAAGTTACACAAATGGCATCTGTAAAAATGACACATTGCTAATACAAAATTACGAAGCAAATAGCAATTTAAAAAAAGTTTTCAAAATTTCTTGAGTTGCACCATGAGGTATAAGCATTAATCACCCTTTTATACAAAATATTATTAATAACTTGAACAAGAACTCTTGCTAATACTGATTTCATTAATTTCCCGCTTGCATTTTTAGCAAGCTTGTGATCGTACCCAGTCCTAATTCTTAATAAACTGGAAGAAAAACTAATAATAAACGTGTATATGCTAAGTAAATTATTATAATCAAAAACACTTGGCTGAGCTTAGATGGGGCAAGTACTTCAACAAAGTCTCTCTGCCAGCAGATAAAGAGCAATTAGCACTTGCAGAATTAGCTTTTTAAAAAGCTGAAGCGCTGTGACAGTATCAAAATACAATGCACAATATTACTGTATGTATACAGACTACTGGAATGAATGTCTTATTTAGAATGCACTATATATGCCTATAGCAGCAAACTTCAGTGGCAAGCTTAAGACTGTTTTCAAGAACATTAATTCTGCAAAAGTTTGCAACTATTTATCACTTCAAAATTCTCAGTTTCGGAAAAAACATCACCTCATATTGGGATACAAGCATTTTAAGAGAAGCTTATTTTGAGCTTCCCACCAAGTTTGAGTTGACTACTGCCAAAAACAGACCTAATTCTCAATAAAAATGATCATAATTCAATAATAATAATTTGAAATCAGTACATCAAATGTGAATTGGATTATGAAAATATCAATAGCATATTTTGTATGGCTTAGACATAAAATTATGATTTAATTATGATGCTAAAATGGCTTATATATATCAAAAATTGTGCCTGCCCTTTCCTTGTAGAAAAAGTAAACACATAGCAAGAATATACTTTTACAAAGATCTATTCTCGTAAAGAAAAACATTTTCCTTTTGCCTGTGCATTATTTAAATTTTATATATAAGATGAAATCAAAAAATACTTCACATGTGCATGAATACAGAATTATAAAAGTATACTAGTTAATATAAATGAAGCTTTCCCCTTCAAAATATCCATGGCTGGAAGAAGATTCCTGTGCACCTCATTCACTGCGATAGTTTTCATTGGCAAAAGTCACCTTAAGTTTTTTCATCCACACACCATCTGACATAAATTACACAACTAAAGTAGACTGAAAACAAAAAAAAAAAAAAACATACTGACATCATTCAGCAAAGAAATATTCAGCTTTTCTCAGGTCACAGAAATACTCATTACAATGTTAAATTCCAGTTTAATTTTGAAAAAAAACAAAAAAAAAAAAACAAAAGTGCAGACAAAATGTATGAACACAGTTCTCTGGGATATTAATATCTTTTCTAGAAGTTCTATTTTTGTGTACTAACTATAAGCTTCAAAGCATTATCTTGAATATTATAACTAAACAATACATATAATACTAATAATAAAGAAATATAATACAGTTCAGTTTTCAAACCATTACTGTTGTGACAAAAGTTATGTAAGTTTAATGAACAAGTTGTAACAAACCAGACCTGCCAAATTACAATATGTAAAATTGGTTACAAATTCATTGTACTATATTAATTTTTTTCAAAGGCTTTGGAAACATTAAGTGTAAGGCATTTAAAATGTTTGTTTAACATTGTCTAGTAAATAAGTAATTAGTCATATAAATAAATAAATAAATAAATAAATAAATAAATAAATAACAATGTCTAATGATCAGGAACAGGCCACCATGCAGGCAGATTTTATGACAAAACTTCACAAACTCAGCATCTTATAAAATAAGCATGTTTCTATTAATATAAGAGCAAAAACTTTCATATCAAGCTCTGGAAGACAACTGCTGACTCAGGAAACATTTCAACACAAACTTTGCATAGTTTCAAGCAATGTACACAGGATTTACCCTAAGACCCATATAACATCCAGTGGTGTGGTATTACTTAACCGATTCATGGTTCGGTACACCTTGACGAGTAACTGACATGTAATTACAATACTGGAGGATGTATTTTACAAGTTCTCCACAAGTTAACTTACTGCTGTACAGCTGAGTTTAGTCAAATTATTGGCTGTGTTGAGCACAAGAGCTCTGTTTAGGAGACACTGAGGACATTCAGAACAAGACGATCCACGGACTAAATATGTCCGAACCACTTGAAAGCAACACAGACTAATTCCTTGGTGGTCTCCCCACCTCCACATGTGGCATTAAACAGATTAAATCTTCGCTCCAAGGTTTAATTGCAAGGCCCCTTGTATTGTTTTAAAGTGGGGTCAACCATATTTGAGACGGGGATCTGTTAGCTAGTCCACGGATCATCTTGTTCTGAATGCGCTTACTGTCACATAACAGTTAATTGTCAAGTGAACCAGTACAGGCTGGGCCAGTAAAATGCACCATTTGATGTTCAAAGGGTGAAAAAACCTACCAAACATAGGACTAGCTGCCCTGTTCAACACATTAACTATTTAAAGATAAATTCTATTCACAAATAAAGTGTAGGATACAGCATTAATATTATTCAGTAGTAAAAAGCCATTCTTACGATGCAATTGTAGGTGGTTATAACAATGGTATACTAATAGATTTTTCAAACAAACCATGTCTGTAATTTTCTCCAGCTTCAAATAACAGTAAAATGTATAATGCAACATAATATGGTTAAATATTTACACTATTATTGCCTTCTTTTTAAAGATTGTCACTTTTTTCTCCCTACAGGGACCATTACCAATATATCACATCAATTACCAGGAAATCAAATCTATCCAGGAACCATCCTTCACATACACTCTTATAGAATAGTTAGATTCAAAGATCTGTTTGCTATTTACTTCCTACACTAAGTCTTTGGTAATATCACAAAGCATAAACTACACTGAAAATCAAAGGAAATATGCCGGTTAGTCTTCAGACACAACTATAGGTGGCACTCCACTGGAATGGGAAGACAACACCAACACTCAAAATTCTGCAATAATTTGTGACCTTAACATTGCATAAATGTACATTAACTGTATGGGACTTAATTATAAGGATTCAAAATTTCATACATTTACTGAATGCTGAATCAAAATGGAATGTTGTGATTTGATGTCTCATCAATTAAAAATCACATAACAGCAACATACTACTGTATAAAAATAAGACATGCTGTCATTTACTGCACTCTTGCAAAAAAGATTGTATTCAACAATTATGGCACTGTTAGTAGAAAGAGAGTCAACAAAAATCCCTTCTCTATTTTACAACATGGACTGCCCTTATAAACATTTAGTAGCAATAAGTAGAAAGAGGCAGCCATGTTCCTGCATAGAGAGGAGGAGTGTAATCAAGATGTGGATTGCAATCAAGTGGGTGGTGCTTTTCTTTTAAAGTCAATGGTGGCATATTCCGTGGCTTCCTCTGTGCGGATGATTTCATCTTTCTGATTCTTTCCCTTTGGCTTGGTGTTAAAAGCTAGGTCTGCATAGACTGTCCCATCTGGGCCGATATTCTGGGGAAAAAAGTTGAGACAGCTGATTAATAATTGATGGGGCGGATTAAAAATGCCTGGTTAGGATTAGTATAAACCCAATGTACATGTGTGTATGGGTGTGTGTGTGTGTGTGTGTGTGTGTGTGTGTGGGGGGGGGGGGGGGGGGGCGGGGGGCAGGGGGCGGTTGTAATTCTATATGGGGTTAAAAACATCATATTATTTATTTGTGAAAATGCAGCACATTTTCAACAGTTTTTACATACAATTAAAATATTTTCCATAGGTTAATACAGTATATTTAAAAAAAATATGTGTAAAAAAAAAACCTTCTGTGATACAGGCCTGGCATCATCATCATAAAAAAGCCAACAACGACAAAGCAAATCAATTTTCCAATTGTGCATTGGCAGTACAGCAAATGTCATGGATATTTTTCTTGCAGGGAGAAAAAAATCATTGAAAGTGATTAGGGTAAAAAGGATGTAAAAATTTAGGAGTTCTCTCTGTATTTGCCTAGCTGGATCCAGCCACAAGCATCGATTTATTTAATACCATGAAACCTACAAGTAAAAAAAATCACACTGTTTCACAAAAAAACAGCCCAACAAAAATCAATACTGTCTGGTTCTCATAACCAGACATTGGTACATTTGTATAATTGATGTAAGCAGAGTTGCTGTATTCTGAGGACTGTTCAACAGACACCTAGCTGGAAGAACAAATATGAGAACTGGATGCAGGGGTGATTGGGGTGGGGGTGGGGGTGGGGAGTGGAGGCTAGATCAGGTAAAAAAGGTTCTAAAATCTGAAATGGGCAAACCCAAGCATATTAACATGTTAACAACTAAGAGAGAGTAAAAAACAGAAATAAAATAAAATAAAATAAAATCACTGTCTCATTTTAATTCTAAAGCAAAGTGAGCTCAACACCAGCCAGTTTTGCAGTACTGTGTCCAAACTTTTTTTTAAAGAAATATAAATAAATAAATGATAGAAGCTTATACACCAGACAATATATATACATCATATCCAGTACAGGAATGAATCAATAGTAACACTAAAAAAAAGCTTCTATGGCATTTTGAAAAAGGTCAGATGATTAATTCTGTTTTAGTTCATATCCTAAATATCACCTATGTTCTTTGTTAGTCATAATGAGCTACTTAAAATATCAACAAGAAAACACTAACATGTGTCTGGGCTGTAACAAGTATTGTGGGAACAAATGCTTTATTGGCTGTGGAGAGGGAGGGAGAGAGGGAAGGAGGAGAAAGGGGTACGATGTCTGCTTTAGCCTCTGTCAGAATTTAAGAATTCTTGGATTTTAACCTTTTGTGGGAAAATCTTGTCTGGTTATAAAATTAATATGAACTTTGATTCATCATAAGAATAAGAAAAGTCTCATCAGGAGGTGGTCTCACAATTACGTTCTCATCAGGTGTAACTTAAAACTAGCTTAATAACATAAAGTACCTCCTGGAGTGATACCACTTAGTTAAACCTATCCCCTCCCCCCCCCCCCCCCCGCCAGCCCCTCAGCAACCAACCACAACAGAAGAGGTCATAAAAACATAACCATGTGGAGAATATTGCAATCAAGCTCCTATTTACATGTACATGCATCAAATTTTTCAAGGAATCTAGGTTTAAGATGAACCCAATTAGGGCAGGCTCATCTCTTGAGGACATGGACTGTCACCCCACTGGGGACACAGGTTGATAAATGAAGTACATAACCATGAGAGCTATCACGTTACATAGCAATGACATGAGACAATTTAGAAATACTTCAGGTCCTCAGATATATGTGGATTAAAGTACAAAAAAGGAATGCAATAGCAAACACAACTTGATTAATCTTCCAGATTGCTTTGAGTGTTTACACTTTGGGAAGGATAAGGTTACCAGTTCACCTTTTTAACCTTCCTGGTTTAATCCAAACACCTGGTTGCACATGAAAATCCAGGTCAAGGCCCACTTGTAAGTAATGGGGCCACTGAACAGATAACTGCAACTGTGTTCAATTAGCCTTGTCACATGGCACTGGGCTAGACAATACAGGCCCTTAATCTGTATTTGTGTGGCAGCATTGATGAATGTTGTTATCCAAACACTGATAAGGTTGCAATGACACATAGTTGAATTTTCTGCACTAACAAGAGGGCACTATTGATAAATTAGTGCTACTGTCTGCCAATAGGTGTCTCCCTAGTTTGGTGTTTGGAAATCTGCCCACATTCGTGTGACCAGGGAATTATATCAGATATAATTCCCTGGTGTGACTTAACCTATTTTCAATTTGATAGACTATATGTACTTTATTGCACTTCATATCTCAGCTTATAGGCAGGTTACCAAAGTATTCTACTTCACATATGAAAAATCTCACATAAAAGATTGCGGCACTCTTATAAACTGAACTATGGAATATGGATTAATTGCCCATTGGATTGCACAATTTCAGTTATTTCTACGAAATGAGATTGAATTAAGATATGGATGCATGCAAAGCAATTAAAATAATATAAAAATTATAGTAGGAAAAGTCCGACTTAATATCAATGCAAAATCTCCCCAACAAAACCTTTCACAAATATTTTCCTGTTATTTTTCATTTACTACAATCAGAAATCACATTTCTACCTGGTCTGTCTGATAACTAGCTTCAGCAGTCATATCACTATGATGTGGCTATATTTACTAATATGTCCACATTATCAGTCATATGTACAGCAATTTATCAGTTTATCATTTATCAGCTGCTCCTCCTGAATTGAGCTAAATACAGCACGGTGTAAGAACTGTGTACATGGCATCCTTGCTATGGCCTCTACACAGCTTGGGGTCTCTGCATGATGACAGCAATTTTAAAGTGGGGTTCTTTTTCTCAAACAATTGCACCAATTTACTCTTATAGTTAACCAAAAATGACCAATGAAGTAAAACCCAGATCAAATTTTGATAACGAGTAAGCCTTTTCCAGACAAAAGAAAGTCTCTCTCTCTCTCTTGCTCTCTCTCTCTCTCCAATTCTTCCCTATAGTACCTACTATCCTGGTTGATACTTTTACCCTAATTTCTTATGAACCAAGAAAGGACAGAATCAGTACAGAATTGAAATCTGATACATGTGTTATACATAATGTGGAGATCCCAGTCTGTTAAACAGATTACTAGCAAAGGGCTGTATTCATATAAATGAAACCATACACCACAGATACTGTTACCAATTCATACCTGTATGATGCTTTTGATTAATGAGGATTAATAATGTATGACTTTAAGCTAGATGAGTCAGAATTCCCAGAATTTACAGTAAGCTTTTAACCCAATTTTCCAAGACAGTAGGTGACAAAAGAAGAAAAAATATTTCTAAAAAGAAGAATTTCTTGCTGTGGTTGTGTTACTCTGTATAAATAGCTGATAAATGACTGAACAATCTTTGCTATTATTATATTATTTTATATACCAATCAAAAGAAACAAAGTGAGTTATTTTTCTTGTCACTTGTAAAGAAAATCTAAATATGTTGTCATACTTCTTCTTTGGTTTAATTCATTTTCTTGTTTATGAAAAATAAAAGTGGGCAGATAGCTGGCCCAACTTTATAACTATAAACAGGTGCAAAGGCACTAGCTACATTGACTACATTTAAAAAGTCACATTACCCTGATGCCAAAATTCTTACTAACAATAGATGTTATGGTGCAATGTTTGATTTTTATCGACTCTTTTCATCTTGCTTAACTCAGGCTCTAAAATAACATAGTAACCACATTAGGTTACCTCAAAAGCCTTTTATGTTGAAAAAAGAAAAGAAACGACGATTCTTCTTAAATTTCTTTTAAAATTCAAAACATTTTGAATTATAATTAATGCAAAATATTTTTTTGATTTTTAGAGGCATTACTGCACTAAAGTTGCTTAGGCAGATTGAAAGAATCCCTGTATAACTGCATCCTCAAATTTTTTTTGACATTTTATGATAAGCATGCGCTGTTCAACGTGACTCACCCATCGATTGCTGGGCGTTGCTAGCAAGCTAGATAAAAATTCTGTAACCGTTATGTTTTGAGTATCTAAGTGGTCGAGACTCCATGTAGGCACACTAGTAATGCCATCATGTAGGCATCTATGAGTTTTTGTTTCCAGTCGTGGATGCATACAGTTAGTACAGTAACTTTACTTCCTGGTTCAATAGAAAGGTAGGTTATTGATTAATGGATGACTCATCTTTACCAAGAACTAAATGAATATGAAACACTTCCTGAGTAGGTACTTTGAGTAAACTCAAAGTCCAAGTTATGAAAAAAAAATTAGAGCATTTTTTGTGACTTTTCTATAATGAAAACATACTAGTAGGACTCAAAGTTACAGTGAGGGGCATCAAGTCATTGAGTATAAAGGACCACAGCTACAGTTTAAAAACCTATAGGAAAGCACATCTGTAAAAAAAAGCACATAAACCAAATCAATTTTTCACAAAATGTGTCACCACTTACTGAAAATTAAACTTAGTCTAATGACTACTTTAACAGTCACGCATCTAGCGGTACATCTTATTAAACTTTTTAATCTTTTAAGAGCCTAAAACATAGAATTAACTTTCCCACGCTAGAGAGACAGAAAGGAAAAGGAACTTTGTTTGTGCTGATAAGCATGGTATTGAGGCAACAAAGAGGAAAAGAAAATTATTATCAAATGACTTAAAAAAACTGAAACAAAAACAGGACTGGTATCAAGTCTCATTTCCCTTACATACATGTATGTATCCTCAAGATTTTTTATAAAGATTACTGCAGACACAATTACCAATAATATCACTGTGCAAAGATAACATTTCAACAAAAGATGGGGCTTTGTTCCTTCATCTATAGTTATCATGTCACAATATCATATCTCTTTGTGACAAAATTATAATATTACTAGAGACAATACGTAATAAATAAATGAACTTATCTAAGAAATGATACAATGAATAAACAAAATAAAGAAACAAATAAATGGAGGTGGGGGTTATTAGAGCAATAAAAAACAGGTGTTTTTGGATCAGGAATTTGAAAACAAAATTCAACATATAATAATTACAACGATTAAGAAAAAATGCTTGAACAAGATACACTCCCCTGAAACAAACACCTGTCTTTTAAGCTAATTATTTCTATATACCTTAGTGCTATCTTTGGGATCCTCCACCTTTTCCTCCACCACCTGTCCTCCACTCTCCACATTGGCGTAGGGGTTCTCCCCAGGGTCGTTCTTGTTCTCCACATTCTGGTATGGGTTCTCATCCTCATCATATGCTGGCTTGGCTTCAGCTGGAGGGAATAATAATAATAATAATAATAATAATAATAATAATAATAAAGTGTCTGGTTTATTTCTATTGCTATATCTCTTCTATTTCTTAATCTTTCGAAGTATCTGATTTTCACTTTGTTTTTATATTATTATTTGGAAAATAAAGCAGTAAAAAATGTATACTTTGTATATTGAAAATAAAAAATCATTTTGTAGTCATCTAGTGTATAAAAAATTTAATAAGCATGGGCAGCTGGGATTTTATGATTAACCAGGTTAACCCTTTGCAAACTCGTCTGTGAAGAATGCTGGCATAACAAAATCTCAACTTCCATGTCATCAATATGAGCATAAACACCGACTTAATCTAAAGACCTTACTTCACAACCAATGCATGTATTTTTGTCTCAAGTTGATTATAATCCTCACATCAATTCTCATAATTTCATTTTAAATAATATGTGAAAAAATATAAAATCATCATCCAATTCAAACCTACCTTTCTTTTTCTTCTTCTTGCCTNTATGAAGCAAATCCTTTAAGATTTATTTAAACCGCCGCAGTATAAATCGTCGTCATCAAAGGAATGACAAATCTTTATTAACGCATCTTATTAATTTAAAAAAAATTGGAAATAAAAAATACATTGACTGTGTGTTATAATTAAATGCAAAAATACCGGTACCTCCACATCCTTGAGTAGATTTGAACTTTCTAGTTAATTTTAAACCACCTTTTTTTTAGCAAAATATGCAGACATTTCAATGGAATGATTTTTACTCCTAAGACACCTAAAACACGTACCCTATAAAATCCAGATTGTAAGCACAAGTGCGATTAACAATCTCTGTGGTACAAGCAACAACAACAACAATAATAATGATAATAACTTATATGGCGCCTTACATGCTACCTCAAGGCGCCTTACAATAATGGATAATATAACTAAAATCATTAAAAAGACTACAATATTTAAATCTAAAACACTCTTTGGAAACCATTTAAAATTAATACTACTAAAAACTCAATCTTATTAAAACATATAAAAAATCTAAGAGATATAGTCATATTTAAAAATGTGGGTCTTTAAAAGGGATTTTAAATTGTCAAAGTCCTCTGCTTTTCTAATAAAATTTGGTAAGACATTCCGCACTTTGGGGTCGTAGATTATAAAAGCCCGATCGCCATAACTTTTGAGGCACCCCTTCTCTAAAACAGAATGTTCTAAAATAAGGTTATTCTCAGTATTAAACAGTGTGGACCGCCGTGGTGACTTAAAACAGATAAGATCAGATAAATATAATATAAAGAAGGCCTACTTTATAATCAATCTTCTGCTTCACAGGCAGCCAGTGTAATCCTTTCAGAATAGGGGTGATATAGTTTGTACTATTGCACTTTATTTGACAAACCAGTCTTGCAGCTGAGTTTTGAATAACGTATAATTTTCTAATCTGATAGTCATATGTACTAAAGAGGAGACTATTGCAGTAATGTAATCTTGATTATATAAATGCATATACTAATTTTTCAGTGGTTTTGTTATTTAACATTTTCCTTATTTTTCCAATGCGCCATGGTGCATAAGATGCTAATTTACACAGTGCATACACACGCTTCCCCATAGTGCCATTTTCATCGAGGGTAACCCCCAGATCTTTTACAGAACTAGATGGTTTTATAAGAACATCTCCAATGCAACAAGCTAAATGCATGGTAGTCAATAATATGTCAGGCAATTCACTTGGTACAAAGCGTGTATCGTCTTTTGATTCTTCAAGCAAGGCGGCTAATTTTAGGTTTACTACGTTCTATCTCCTTTGCATAGCTGCAACCAGAGATACATTATTCAATGCCGCCGCCAAACCTTAAATAATTAAAAAACAACACGGCTTTCGACCAAGTTAAATCCATTATAATTCATTAAAATTCTATAGAAATAACGACCATGCTTTAAATATAGGCCTTGATACGGCATCCAAGCAATCTGTATCATTTCAAAATGGTTTTTGAGCTGACTGTGAATTTGACTGGGTTTGATAGTTCAAATATAACTTTAACTGGGACAAATCAGCAAAACGAAATAATGAAAAACAAAATATGATAATGTTTTGGAGTGTTTACACGGCATCTGAGAAACAGCCTTCAGGGGAAGCTTATTCGGGTGAGATGATCTTATGACCGGTGTAACAGGAATGCAAGTCCTAGGAGAGGAAGTCCGGGCTCCCGTTTGATTAGTACAGGTTAGGGTTATTTGAAGTTTTGGGGTTAGTATACAAATTGTATTATTTTAATGAGGTGAGATTTTAATTTTTGATTTAACATTTAGATTTTTTAACGATGAGCTATTTTACAAATCCTTTAATAAACTCATCGAGGGAGACTATACGAGTCCGTGACCGAGTTTCATAGGATAAGTGGACGCTCTACAGTGTATAAGAGCATATGCTTTCACCTAAAATACAAAGAATTAAAATGGGAAATTCGGGAACCAGGGCCAACATTTCAAATATCATGAAATATCATATATAAGAGGCAAATATTCCGCTCCGAAGAATAGTAGAAATGTATGTATAAACAATAACAGTCACATTCAATTCATTTATCATACGATATTATACACGTTTCATTTACTGCATGTGTCATTGTAACTACAGATATTCCCAGTGATCACCAAGGCGCCAAGTATGAAATAATTAACTGTCAATATATATATATATATATATATATATATATATATATATATATATATATCAGAACACCTCGAGCGTCATCAAGAAGTGTTCAATAAGCGCAAGTGTGTATATCGTGAGAGGATGGCGATGTATTATTTCACATACTCGCATTTCACCGAAAAACACCCCGTAAGACGTTATATAACGTAATGTAAACGTTATATAAAGGACAAAAACATCAGTTAGAAATGGGGCACGAGCCAAAACCCAAGGTTGTGTACACCAGACATACAGTTGTACCCTGTATGTGATTTACAAAAGAGATCGAGATATTTCAAAAGGCCCAGTGAATGGTGCAAATCTCATATTATTCATATCAATCGGAAATTTAAATCGCCCCTAATCCAGGCCTAACCAACTACCAGACTCGGCATCTAAGGATCCTGAATTAACCGGTTTATCGGACCACACTACCCGTTTTCAAGGTGTGTGTCAGATCGCATTTCGGAGTATCATACTCCAGAACAAATTTTGTAGGATGACTGCGGGCTCATCCACGCTCGGCTGAACAACCTTAAACTGTACTCTTACTTTAGCGTACTCTATTTCATTGTCTCTATGGGGGTATATGGGGACTTTACGACATTCGGTTTGAATGTTTTAACCACTTTTGATAGGGCTCTTTTGCATTGTATTAGATTAATGTGGCAGTCTAAGGTTCATCTAGGTGGCTTTCAAATTTATGCACCCGGTTTTTAAATCATATAGCGATTAAATACGACAATCGTTTACTATCCAATCAAGGTGACAGCCGAGCGTGGGCTCATCCTGTCGGTGTTCTGACTGATACTCCGAAATGCAATCTGACACACACCTTGAAAACGGGTAGTGTGGTCCGATAAACCGGTTAATTCAGGATCCTTAGGTGCCGAGTCTGGTAGTTGGTTAGGCCTGTAATCTGAATGTGTACCTCAGTGTTAACCCGTACGTCACAGCGGCACGTTTACGCTTGCGCCCTTTCACTGTCTAATATAAGCAAACGGGATATGCTTGGAAGAAATTCGTTGTACTTTTTCTCATATGGTAAGCGATTACAGTATATGAAATCGAAATTGATTCGTATTGTACTAGTATGCACCCATATTACTTTGCTCGAGATCTCTACAGTAATCCTTTCATTTTGTATTCTATTATTCAGCCAACTTCAGGGTCATCGTCAATGCTTACTTTATTGGAATTCTCTTTATGTTACCGCGTACAATATGATATGGGACACATTCTCTTTTCGCCTTTAAAATGCACTCTTTAACATTATTCATATATTCAGAATCTTTTGATAGAGAACACTGCACTTCAAAACAAAAATAATAATAATAATAAAAATAATAATAATAATAATTTTTCTCATTTCAAAACCCTCTATTAGGATTTATATTTCAAAATAACAGTGGTCTATACGATATGCTGGAATAATATCCACTTCCCTATTTCCATTAATTCTAGAGAAAACAAGAAAGATCTTATAGTGCTTGTATGTTTTTTCATGTGTACGATTTTTTATTTGTATTTTTCACCCTCCATGGGTGAGCTGTATGTAGATTATATAATTTTAAGATCTTCCACAAATTTGCATCTAATTTTTTTACTTTGTGATGTGTTATAAAATCAATCCAATTAAAATGTTTGCATTACATTCCCTTTCCACATAAAATCAAGATCGAGATTCATGTGCTTCAAAGAGGAGCTGCATTCTTTCATAGAAATCCGGTGAACATTTATTCGAGCGATTAATATTAATTAATGCTATTGTAATTTCATTTTTTTTTTAATTTCTACTTCAAGCAAATTAGCTGCATCATATTTTGTCACAATTTAAACCTAAATTCAAAATTATTATTAAACATATCCATCACCTTTCGAGAGTTAGTCCTGCTGTTAACACATGCTTTAGCCCACACTGTGCGTGAATAACTTCATTATTAGAATCAATTAAATGTTTGCCTTTGGAGGTAGTAATTTGAGGCCTTTCTCTTTAAAAAATAAAATCGTCTCTGCGTCTCTAATATTCCCTTAACCCTCTGAAATGTAGAGAAGCAATTGCCATTTGCTATTGGTTCAAGAATATTTTTTCTTCATTATATAGGTACTTTTTTGTTTAAGGGGATAATAACACTTCGTTTCGGCCAAAAAATGAATTTTCCTGGAGTAAACAACAATTTTCCCATACTTACCAATGGTTATTGAATCCATTTTTACATTCAAAGTTAGTCCCTGTTTTTTTCTAAAAAGTTTGGTTTTTTGTTAAAATCTCTTAAGAGATTTTAACAGAGTATAGCCATCAATGGAGGTCACGTGGTATAAAGACAAGCTCAGATATCAGAATAATAGCTATAACTGCCGTTTTTGTGGTAAAACAGAATATATAATATTTCTATGAGTTATTCACAATATTGTTATTATCCCTTTAATATAACTGGCTGTCAATCTTAAACTAGAACCTGTCAATCTTAAACTAGAACCACAACTCTCACACACTCCACTCCAACACAGACAACCCAAGCACATTGCTAAGATGAAGTGCCTGCTCGTAGTGCTGTATGAAATATCAATAAGTAGGTTGCTCAAGGTATAAAAATAGCATCTTATACCCTAAAAACATCAAACCACGCAGAAAGAGGAGAAGTTGGAACAACTCTTGCTTACATGGAGATTTATAAATACAATGAATGACCCTTTGGCTTAAAATATACACTTATTAATAGCACATCTATGATTTGACTTGACATCAAAATAAACTTTTGTCTCATACTTAAATTGTGTATATTATTTCAATGGAGCCTCTCGAGG